AGCAGAGGAACTGCTCAGCATGATTCAGGGGCATGTCGTCAACTTCCCATATGATTGGCTCCTGACTGAAGAACAAAACGGCAACTGGGGATTCCAGGTGGACGGTGTCGCGCCGCTTCAAATCTAGTAAGTCTCCGTCTATCATTCCCGTGCGTAGCCGGTCCAGTGCTAACATCCATTGCAGCAACTAGGTGTTATACACAGTTCAGAACGGTCTCATGGACCTGCTGGACAAAGCCTCTCTATATGGCTGAACCATTACACGATACATCGATGCACAGGACGGAGTCAGGGAGGAGCATCTTGGCGTCGCGGGTACTTTCACTGTATTGATTCTATTCGTATGGCTTCGGCCCCTGTTTTTACATGTATTGTACACATTGTTAAATTACAGCCTTTATTACACCTTCTCACTTACCCAGATGGCGCCTTTGCAACCCGCCCGGATCACACCGGTGAGCAACCAGTGCGGCTCCGCCTTCTTGGCGTCATGCTCGACAGCGTGGTCCAGGTGCTCCAATTCTTCATCGCGAATCCGCCGCAGTGTCTTAATGAGATCGGTGAACTCCGGACCGACGTCGTAGCCTTCAGCTTCCCACTCTGTGACCATCTCGATTAGGGTTCTGATTTGGTTGTTGTAGTGATCGCCAATTTCCGTCTCGACGGCCTCTGTACATGCCATGGCCGCTTCGCGACCCATTACTGCGGTACTCCAGCCCAGCCCAGTTGACATTAGCTGCCACAGAGGATACAGGGCAGTCGGTCGCACGCGATGCTTGTGGATGAGGGCGTTGAATGTATTTAGGTGGCCCTCTTCTTGGTCGTACATATGTGCCATGAGAGGTCGAAGATGCGGGTGTCGATTGACGATCGGTGGGGTTTGAGCTGTGTAGATTCGGGTGGCAGCCAGTTCTCCGGCTTGATTGACTCGAAGCTGAACAAAGTCAGTATAGTTTCCCCAACTGCATACAATTGCACAACTTACTGCTGAAGACAAGAAATCCCGCTGCTCTTGGGTCAGGGGCTTTCGTCGGGGCGCCGCTGCTGCACCTTTTGCTTCGGCCTGAGCATTGGATGTGCCGGATAGCTGTCTGCGCGAGATGCAAACACCCGGCGCATACGCGTTTTGCGCTCCAATTCTTGCGATGCCACAGCAGGGCCTCAGAAATGATCTTACTGAAGCCATTGTGAGATTTTCCTGTGGATAGACAAGACCCCTAGGGTATTCGGAGCACAAACTCGGCCGAAGACAAATAGAAGATGTCAATGACATCGAACGACTAGACCCTGTGGATGCTGAAGCCTTTGTGAGCGTTGATTGGCTAGCCGTAGGGCAGGTCGGATGGGCATGGGCCGACGCTCCGACTGCTCCACCCCTGTGCAGACGAATGACATAATCTGAGCCAATCAGGCACGCGTTCGCAACGACAATGGCCCAAGGCTGTGAATAGGAGCCAGACTTTCGAGTTCTTCTTCTAACAACCTTACCACACAACCGCCAGCGACCATCTCCTGACCATTCACCTCTCTACACCCAATCGACAAAGGAATTTCATCTTTCTGCGACTCAAAGTAATCGTATTTGTTTTCTTTGCATCGATAGCCAATTGCGTAAACCGATCGATCGGTCTTGAATCATTTGATTCACCCCGACGCAGCTGCTTGAAAGAGCTTCCAGCCCCTTAGTCGAATACCCGGTCGTAACTCACCATGGCCGACATTGATGATGAGCTTTTGGCTCTCGCCGGAGGCGGAGAGTCCTCTGACGAGGAAGAGGAGGAGGTGATGTCTGAGGTGGAGAGTAGGGCGCAATCCGCGTCACCACCGCCCAAGGCGGCTGCGAAAAAGTCCGCTGCGAAAAAGGTGAAGAAGCGCGCTGGAGGAGGCGACTCAGAAGAAGAAGGAGAGGCGTAAGTTTCTCCCGTTTTGTAGTACACCCAGGCGCATTCCTACCTCTACACCGGAGGAAGTCCACCAACCTTGAGCTTCACCTTCGACATCTTGAATTTCAATCTCCCAGCTCATCATCGCGCGCGCAACATTGGCTTTCCACTGCCTTGCCTGCCAATTACATCACTGACAATGCGCCTCAGCTCTTCAGCACCCGGTAGCCCCAACTCGATAGGATCCGCCGCCATGGACGAGTCCGACTCCGAGGCCGAGCCGCATAGGGCGGGCCAAGACGATGATGAGGAGGATAAGTACCCGATCGACGGCATGTTCAAAAGCCGCGCCGAAAAGGAGATGGTAATGGCCATGCGCGAAGTCGAGAGAGAATCACTGCTCGCAGAGCGACAGGCCGAAATTGAGCGCCACAGACAGAATCGCATGCTGCGACAGCTTGTCAGCAAGCAGGAGAACGAGGAGAAGAAGCAGAAGCTCAAGAAGCGCAGCGCCGACGCTGCCGACCTCGAAGACGAATCGCGCACGACAGCGCGGCCGCGCACCGACGGCAAGACGTCAGCGATAGATGAGCTACGTCGCGCGCGTGCGGAAAAGGTCGACCGCATACGTCGTCGCGAGGAGGAGCGCAAGGGGCTTAGGTCGCCGCGCGACGACTACCAGGACGACAGCGATGAGGGAGGTGATTACGAGGAGAACCAACGCCGTCGGCACCGCAAGTCACGATCGCCTGAGGACGAGATTGTCGCACGCGAGTTGCCGCCTCCAGACATTCGGGATTTCGAGCGCATTCGCGTCGGAAAGAGTCGTTTCGCGGAGCACTGCTTCCACCCAAGCTTCGAGACGACCATGATAGGATGCTACGTCCGCATCAGTATCGGTCCCGATCCCAAGACGGGCCAGGACGAGTATCGCATGGCGCGCATTCAATGTTAGTCCGCCCGCCGAGGTGTTGTTGCTGACAAGATGCTGACGTTTTACAGCCATCACGGTTGGCAAGCCATACGCCATGACAGGCCCTAGTGGAGCCTTTGTGACCGATCAGTATGTTCTGGCAGCTCATGGTAAGGCGGAACGGCCGTTCCCATTCATTTTCCTGTCAGATCGGCCATTTACCGAGGTGAGTTTCCTCTTCAGACGCTCTATACTGGAGGGCGTCCAACTGACTGGAACAGCGCGAATACAATCGATACGAAAAGGTCATTCAGTCCGAGGGCCTGACTTGGCCCAAGAAGAAGACCCTCATGGACAAGATTGACGACATCAACGCGCTCATCGCGTACCATCTCTCCACCACCGAGATTGACGAGCGCATCCAGCGCAAGGCCGCGCTCCGCAAGAAGTTCGATCCCAAGTTGCGCGAGCGCCTCGCTCAAGATATCGAGGTCGCCCGCGCCCAAGGGAACACCAGAAAAGCAGAGGACCTGCAGGAGCAGCTCGACGACCTCAAAACGAACGTATTGGCCTTCAAGACGAGCCTTAGCGAGACCTCATCTAAGCCCAGCGCAACATCCCAGCAGGACCGGTTAGCTAACATCAACCGCCAACGCCGGCTGGAGAACGCCGAGAACGTTAGGAGAGCACAGCTCAAGGAGAAGGCCGAGGCGCGTAAGCTAGAGGCGGCGCTGGAGAGGGGCGAGGACATCAAGAACGATTTGTCGCGGCGGTTGCGGACCAAGGCCAAGTTCATCCACGACGCCAACGATACGGGCAGCAAGAAGGCAAAAGACAGCAATGCAAGCACACCCGCCAACGGCACGCCCAAGATGGGCGCTCAGGAGAAGAACTTCTTGCCTAATTTGGTCAAGCTGCAGGCTGCGAACCAGGAGAAGAAGGGCATCCCGACAATTCACAAGCCGCTCATGGATGATGACATTATCGGATCCCTGGATCTCGATATTGACATTGACATTGACTAAAGAAGTCTTGTTTCGCGGCGGAAATCATTTGCATGGTTGCGAGGGAGGGACTTGGCCAGGCTGGAGACTGGTAGGTTGCTATAAAAGTTGCTATAAAGGGGCATAAGGGGGTTTTCGGGTACAGAGGCCCGACATCATATGGCACCTTTCCAGCGCAGTAGTTGTAGAGTAGAAAAAAAGCGTTTTGGCAGGGCTCTCTGCGTGAGCGAAGCAATCGACGCGATAGAGCAGACAAGAATGAAACAGGCTGCGCAAGCACTCGTCGAATTCATGGATCATCAGCCGGAATTTCACCTGCCTTCCCTCAGTAGCCTAATTTCTTCCAATGACCGTATCCTAGGCATGAGGCCCATTGATTCCTGTCTATCTACCTCAGTGAACCTGGAAGAGAACGGGCTACGCGGGACGCTACTGCAGACTCGCCCACCGCGGGGTCGGACTTAAGGTCTTGCCCCGCGCCGGTGGTCTGGTGGTGAGTGAGCTGCGGGGCAATGGATGCGCCAGCCCACAGTACCAGGTAGCGGAAGCGATCCGTCCCAAATTCCCACCTGCACCCTGCCCGCGTTAAGCTTCAAGGCAAAGTACGGCCCCGTCGGCGCGCATTGGGCTTCTGCACGTGGTGGGGCGTCGAACCGGCACGACCGCATTGGAATTGCTCCGAGGCACCCCGCTGGCCAGCTACGTATAGTGAGGCGAGGCAGCTAGCTGTACGTCTTGTCTCATAATCGTTCCTACCTTGGACATCCAATCCTCATGTTCGTCGTCGTCAACATTCCGTCCCGTCCTTTGAATCAGCCCACAACTGCGCACGGCTTTTACGGGATTAACCTAAGCCTTCGAGACCTCTGAAAGCTCCCGAGTCCGTATGCGCTAGAGTACGCGACGACTACATTACGTCCATTAGTTGATTAGTCTACAGCTCTTCTCCCCTCTCTACCACTGAGAAAGAATTTCATCGTTTCGTCGTTGAATTCACGTAGACTCATAATCCTTTGCTTCTCTCCCTCCTCCGGCGCCTGCCTTTCTGTATTACACCACTCGGTCACTTGCGCTCATAGACCACCATCTCATTAGACAAGAGTGCTTTACACTAAGCTGGGCTGTCCGTTGATAGACCCAGCCTCCCACATACCATTAGAATTCTAGATGCGACATAGAGGATATCCAGCAGCAGCGGCAATGACTCCCGAAACGAAACCCCTCCTGGGGGATGAGTCCTCCAGCTCGTCAGGTACAACCTTCTCTCTTTCTCCCCCCCCCCCCCCTCCCCCTGAATTGCACGTTTTTGCTCTAGGTGCCAATATGTAGCTAATAAGAGTCTCAACACCGCAGCACACTTTACATCCGCCCTCCCACTCACCACAGCCACCACCACAACCCGAGGCGGCGGCGGTGGCGGCGGACATCATCTCCCCCAAGCAATAGCCCACCGCGGCTTCAGAGCCCAATACCCCGAAAACACCCTCCTCGCCTTCCGCGCCGCGCTCGACGAAGCCGGGGCGCACGCACTCGAGACGGACCTGCACCTCTCGCGCGACGGCGTCGTCGTGCTCTCCCACGACGGGAACCTGAAGCGGTGTTTCGGGATCGAGGACAAGAAGATCAACGAGTGCGATTGGAGTTATCTCAAGACGCTCGAGACGGTTAGAGAGCCGAGGCAGAGGATGCCGAGGCTGGAGGATCTGCTGGGGTTGTTGGCGGAGGAAGGGAGGGAGGGGGTTTGGGTTTTGCTCGATATCAAGGTAAGGGATCACGTTCTTGGGTGCTTTTGGGGTGATGGGTTTTGTGCTTTGGGTGTTTGGTGTGGGAGGTGAAGAGAGGGGGAGTTGAAGAGGAGGGTGCGAGAAGAGAGCGCGGCGCTGGGAAGAAGAAGAAGAAGAAGAAGATGATGATGATGATGATGATGAAGATGCTGACGTGAATCGAATGCGCATAGACCGACGATCCCCCAGCAGAACTCCTCGGCCGCGTAGCCGACGTCCTGGCCTCCACGCCGGGTCCCGTGCCGTGGAACGAGAGGATAGTATTCGGATGCTGGAACGTAAGTTACCATCTCACCAGTCTCACCACACTTCCCGCAAAAGACCAAACCCCAAAGAGCACGACGGTACTAACACTTAATCCAAAGCAACCCTACATCACCCACGTCCGCACAATCTTACCCGCCTACCCAATCTCCCTCATCTCCTGGTCCCCGCTCTACGCCCGCAACTTCCTCACGCCGAAACAGCCGAACCTCTCCTTCAACATGTTCCAAAAGTCCCTCGTCGGGCCCGTCGGCAAACTGTTCATCAGAGACGTGAAGAAGAACCGTCGGCAGCTGTTCGTCTGGACGGTCAATGACGAGGAGTGGATGGAGTGGAGTATCGGCGCCGGAGCGGACGGGGTGATTACGGATGATCCAGAGTTGTTCCGGGAGGTTTGTAAGCGGTGGGAGGGGGAAGGGGAGGGGCAATCTACGTCTACATCCACGTCGACTTCGGTTCCATCGGGAGAGCGAGAGGTAGACGCAGACGAAAAGGCGAGGGCGGCTAGGCGGACGGGCCGGGTGCGCGACGGGACGTGGAAGAGGACGGCGAGGTTGTACCTCGAGGTCGCGGGGATACAGGTCCTCGTGGCGGTGTTCACGCCCATTCTGATGCTCGTTGCGCGGTTTGGGGTTGTGGGGCCCGGGCCCAAGGCCGCCAAGGCGTTGAAGCTGTGAGAATTGAGGGGGCTCTTGCAACGATGTGTTGGCGCTGGCTGGTTTGAGAAGGTCTCTAGTATGATCAATCTTGCGGGGATAGACGACACCTGTGAAAGAGGAGAGAAAATGAGCTAGGGGAAAGTACACTGACAGAGGGTGAGTGGAGGGAAACGGGGGCAGAGAGTAGAGCCCAGTCGGATGATGACTGTGATGAACATTTAGAGGACAGTAATTTACCTACATAGGAAGAGGCAGAGGGAGCTGAAATATGGCGCTAATTGCGCGATGTAGATGGAGGCTAGGTGACTAGAAATACAGAAGAGTATAAAGTTCGAATCCCGAAATACACATCCTCCTCGATCTGTGGCTTTCACCAAAACTTTGCTTCCCATGCTATACTTCTGTACAAGAACAGGCTACAGTACCCAGACATTGTGCAGTTTTGGAAGATGGTACCAAAGGTAACAAAATGTTGGACCTCCTTAGACCAGGACAGATAGTGCGCGTGAGAGCATTGAAGCAGACAGGATTTGTGCGAAGCCCGCATATATCCTTGAGCCGAGAGAAGTTATGCGTGACGCCTCGTTGTGTCTTGTCAGAAGATTCGGGTGGGGTCGAGAGAGGGTTCCTTTAAGAACAACAAGAGATAATCAATATTCATGTCCAAGAGCTTGCTAGGTTTCCCATTTCCATCTGGCCGTTCAGATATATAAACCCCTGAAAATTCTCACATACAAAAAGCCAAAGCTGTCGCTATTTAAGCCATCCAAATCACGCCGTCGACATACAACCCTCTCGCTCAAAGTCCGTAATTCCCATCAAGCCCATCCAAAAATAACCCATCATTGTTCCCGTTCCCGCTGCAAGATGCGAGCAACGCGTTCCGGTACTCCAAACTGCTGACGCTCAAATTCAAATCACTCGTCGCCAGGTCCTCGCCCGAGGACAAGCTCTCCTCGCTAACACTCAACACGCTCTGCGGCGGTGCCGGGTTCGTTCCAAAGTCACCGATATTGAAGTTGGCTAGGTCCCAGCTATCGGGGCTCCAGCTGTCCAACCCTGTCGATGATGACGCGGGCGTCTCTCCCATGTTGGGGATGGCGCCGCCACCGCCGCCGTAGATTGCGTCATAGACGTTGTTCAGACCGCCGTCCATGGAGCCGAGAAGGGCCTCCCATTCAGAGGAAGATACCCCGGACACCTTTTGTGGTTGCTGTGGCTGATGTTGTTGTTGCTGCTGCTGTTGTGCGTAAAGACTCTGGTGCGCTGCGGCGAGGATGTGCTGGTGTAGACGGGCTGTAGTTGGCGATGGAGGCGATGAACCGTTTGGTGTGCTATTCAGAGACAGATAGTCGAGGTTCTGCTTGGAGGACGTGCGGATACGGCTGGCGATTTGTGACATGGAAAGACGCTGGTCTCGCCGTGCGGGGACGTCTTGCTGCTGCTGTTGTAAATTGTCAAACGACGGCTTCGAACGGGACCGGTAGAGTTCTGGGCGGTTCTGGATGCTCGGCATGGTCATCCGGCGCATCTTCTCCTGCTGCTGGATCAAGTCACTCTCGCTAGCAGCGGCGCTCGGAAGACGACCCAAAGTCCGTTGAGGCGACTTCTTCTTGACCGCTGGCGCAGGCGGCGAAGCCCTTTGCGGTGCGGGCATGGACGCGGATGCTTCCGGAGGCTCTTGTGGCGGAGTGGGCAGGTTCTGCTCATCAAGTCGAATGAGGAGGCCTGCCACACGCTTGAGATCGAAGGATCCGGGTGCCTTGGCCTTTGTGAGAATGTGGAGGACGCTGTTGACGAGACGCTCGACGTCCTTTAGCATCTTGCTTTCGGGCTTGAGCTCGAAGCTCTGGTACATGAGGGTCATGCCGCAGAGAACGAGAGTATCCGTCTTGTTGAGGCAGAAGGAGAAGGTCATGCTGCGTTCCTCGAGCAGCTGGACGATTTGAACAACGTGCTTGCTGGACTCGCCAATGGAGATCAAAGCAGGCGCGGCCTTGCGACCGAGCGAGGAGCCAACGGCAGGGCGGTAGATGAGGATCTTGGTGTAGTAGTAGGCAAGAGCAAGCAATGGCGACCGGCTTCCGGTGACATCGGTCGAAGGCTTATCCTGCTTAAAGGTAAGCTTGAGATGCGTCGGGAGTGACTCGTTCCATTCGTCGAGCTCAGCCTCCATGGCAGACATTGACTGCAGCGACAGCTCGTGTGAAGTGGCGGCGGGGTAATTCTTCTCCATCACCTTGGCTAGGATTCGGCAACAGCGGAAGAGGGCGAGCGCGCTCGACAAGCGGGTGTATTCGCCAGGGAGCGTTGGCTGGAAGCCCTTCTCTGTGACGTACTCGTCGTCTGTGTCTGAAGGATACTCAGTGTGGATCTCATCCTCCTTGAGCAGTTTCGGCAGTCCAAGAATGGCACCAGAGAAGCTGCAGCCGTTAGTCCATGTTCCAACTTCATTCTGAGATAATAATAATACTCACCAATCCAATGTGTACAGAGTCCAGAACACCTTCTTACGAGTCTCAATAGTGAGCGCGCCGAAGGAGAAGCGTTTCTGGCTCTGATGGAGGCCGAGGCGATGAGACAAACCCACCGCAATGCCCTTGTAGTGCTGCAAGCGCTTGTAATCCGCTCTCACGATGCAGTACAAGAGAGCCAACTCAAGACATTGCAAGGTGACCATGGTGTTTTCCATAAGAACAGCCTCGACAGCTCGCTGCCATTGTTGCTCACACGCTGCGATCTGCTCGAGATCGGGCTGGTCGCTGCCTAATGCCGCGATGCCAAAGACGAGGTACAGCTGGGCGATTTTGTGATTATTCTTGACCTTTTCCGGGTCTGATACAAACTCCTCATAGATGTGGAGGAATGTCGGCTTGTGCAAGACGGGGAATAAGGGAGCCCACTCTTGGAAGTAGACGTTGACGCAGCGATCTGAGAACAAACGCGGCGGCACTTTGAGTGACTGATCAGGCGTTTTCGGCGTCAAGGGATGGCACCCCTGGATATGCAGGAACGCTTCCGGGTTGAAATCTGAGCATGACTTGCCATTTTCTTGCATCTTGCGCTTGAAAGCCTCTGTGTTCCTTGTTAGCCCAAAAGCTCGTTGGTCTATATCTACATCGCTCGGACCGCCAATCTGGGAGGCGGGATGAACGGGTACGCGCATAAGAAGGGCGGTACGAACCGATAAAGGCACGGCCGCTGGAAGGGCCCATAAAGTATGAATCCGAGTTCTCGACGCCGAGTAATAACGGCGACGCCTGCACCCGGAAAGTATCTTCCTTGGCCGGCGCCCCAGCATCCTTTCTTCCATCTGATGTCGACGCGGGTGAATGCGCCGATGTCGCGACGGAAGGGCTGCGCATGGTCGTGTGGCTGTGGTTTCCGTGCATCCTCGACAGCATGTCAATCTTTTCGTCCTTCTCATCCAGCAAGTCCTTCAACTCCCTGACTTCGGTTTCCAGCTGGCGCACGCGCTCCTCGAGAGACTCTGTGTAGCCGCGGGGGAATGCGCGACGGCTCAGCTTGTCGCTTGTGCGGCACTCGAAGCCCACGTTGGAGCATTGCGAGCATGTCGGCCTGATTCCATCGCAACGGATCTTCTTGCTCCGGCACCGGTCGCAGGCCTGTGCTATGCGGCTTTGCGAGCTGGTGCCCACCTTGATCACCTTCATGGGTAATATTCCAGGCATGGTGGCGGTGTTTCCCTCTGTTTTCTACGTTTCGATGTTCCTTCCTGGTGATTTATCCGATGATGGGCAACTCAAGGCGGATATCTGGCGTTGACTAGGTCAGCCTCGGAGGCTTCGGCGGTGACTTTTTCTGTTCTCTAGATTCGTCGTTGGTGGGCTCGGTTGATTATTTTGAACGGGCGCGCGGTTGGTTGAATACTTGTATACAGATGAATCATGAGTCCTCCTCAAAGTGATGGGCGGGTGGTTTCGTAAATCGTCGTCTTCGTTGGGGGTTGTTGCAGGTAGTTGGTATCTTTAGTGACTAAGAAAGTAGGTCCACGAGAACACCGATCTTGCCAACTGAGATGGCAAAGATGGCAGCAGAGACACGGAAAGGAGAAGAGTGGAGATTTGGTGTGTTCTACAACTCGGAAGCGGCGGGTGGGCAGTACCTATAATAGGTAGAATGAATTGTAAGGTCGAACAAGACGAAGAGCAATAGAGATGTTGGGTGGGAGGGCGGAGTCGGGGGTGTGTGTGAGGGAAAAAGGGAAAGAAGAAGTGGAAGATGGTCGTAGGGGAGAGGGAGTGAGACTGTGGGGTCTCTTAGTAGCAAAATGGACACAACGACTGGGAACGCTGGACGCAGGACACCACACCGAAAGGATTTGCTGCTAGGAACGCGGTACAAGATGAATCGTGGGGAGTTGGGGACGGTAAAGTACCTACCTTCCTGCCTTAGGTTAGGTACACTAGGCTACAAGTACAGTACCACCTACCTAGAACAAGACCCCGTGGACGATGTGCGGGGACCAGGGATGGACCAGGAGCCTAATGTAAGGTAGAAACAGCCTTCCGCTTCTTGACTGGAATGCACAGAATTGGTGAGCTCCTGCCTGCAGTCCCGTCAATTACTTACACTGAGCAGAGGTACCTTACTGCTCGGTTCTGGTGAGGTGCCGCTGTGGAGAGGAAAGTACCTGAGGAAACGGGAGGTTTTGGTGGGCCCCGGGCCGGCTCTCGCACTGGATAATCTGCCCTGCATCGCTGGCCAGTGCCTTGCTGTGTTGTGTAAGCGAGGAGCCCTTGAAGGTACAGAAATCTGGGGGAAGAGCTGCCCGGGGTCTGCCGGGCGGCCCTCGCGCCGGCGCTGGTGTTGGGAAAAGTTGGGGTGAGGTGGGAGACGATACAAATGCACGCTAACAAGAGTGAGGGGGAGCCAATCACCAACTGGCAATTGTACACCACCCAGCTCGCTAGACCGTAGACTTAAGTACGAGTACTTCGCTTCTGAGGTCTTCCAAAGTACATTTCCTGATATGGCCACTTGGTGAGGTGCTAGGTACCACCCAAGGTACCGGCCAGCACTCGATGACTGACAAGATCTAAGCTCTGGAAACAGGCGCCAGACAGAATGGAAGCCAGAAGCAGAACAGAAGCACACCACTACACTTTTGTCCGCCACGATAAACGTGTCCATCAACGCCATGCGTCGACATGATGTGTGCCGGTCTGCTGTTGTGCCCGTAGCCTGACAGCGTCGCCAAAGCACAATGCCCCGCGCAAACCCGCGCTGGCCTGTCCTGCCATTGTCCCGTATCTCTGAAAAGCAGCGTCTCTCTCTCCATCTCGCCATTCAGCCCTTCAAAAGCAGCTCAGCGGACGCAGATATGGCACCACTCGAGTCCTTAGAAGCAGCAGACCACTTCCCCAACTTCAGCTGTTCAGTCTCTAGGTAGACCATCCGGTCTCTCCAGAGGCCCCGAAAGTCAACAGGCGCCTACGGCAACCTGACGGAAGGAAAAGCTCTAGACCATTTTGGACGCAGGGCGGATCCGCCCCCCAGAGTTTCCGCTCCGTTGTCAGCCCAGTGTCATGCGCAAGCGTCTCCTGGCGAGTCGTCCATTCCATGCTTCATGCCGCTTCGCTCCAGCCAACCCGACCAACCACTCCTTTCCGCCACCACCCATCTCGCCTTTTCCCCAGATTCTACCTTTCATTCAGGGCAAGATTCGGGAACAAAGAGATACAGACAAGCTTGCGAATTTGACGTTCGGCAAAAGTAGGAACAGCCCACTGGGCTCTGGGGAAAAGGAGGGAGGCACCTGGGGTCCGAACTGGGGCGCAGGCCACAGGAAACTGGGGGAGAAATCCGGGGCATGGCCCCCGGTGCCGTTACACTGGTTCCGGGGCCCCCCATTATCGCCATATACCCATATCGGATTGGATCAACCCCAGTCGATGATCGCTTCCTCGTTACTGGTGGCCCCAATGATTCGCCGCCTGGGACGAAAGCTGCTTGGCCCACGCCTGCCACGCAAACTGGACCAATTCTTCACCTCTGCAGCGCTCTTCAAGGCCTATCGAGTCTGAGCGTGCGCGGCAGTGATACCTAGTCGTCAATACTGGGCCCGACCTTGCGGTGAGCAGCCAATAAACACAGACGAGCCGCGACTAAACTACCGGATCTTTTGCGATCGACGGGATTTTCGCTGTCTCGAGACCTGTTGGCACCTATTGGCATATCATCACTGAGAGATGACGCCTAGTCTTCATGTCACAACCTCTTGAGCTCTTACACTGACCAACAGCCGTCATCATTATCAACCCGGCCCGGAATCCAGTGTATATGTTGCGACGACAACCAGACACTGCCCTCCGAATTTGGCTCGACCAGACAGGGTCCAACAGATTCCGAGATAGTTGACTGCCCCAATGTCACTTTGAAGTCTGAACGCGCCCGAGTCCCCGACGTCTTGACTCGAGTGACGCTTCTGTGATGCAATGAAAAGACCCGCTGATATTGAAACTGGCGCCAGCTAGTCGGTAATCATGAGTCCGCCAAAAACGGATCCCCCCATCCAAACATGTCACACCGTCGACGCCGTTGGCGTTGGGGATGGAAGGAAACCACGCTATCTTTGCGGAACCGCAATTGCAAAACTTTATCCCCTGCCCGCATTCCGCGCCGTTCTCGGGCGGGCCCACTTCACTTCAGTCCGGGCTTCGGGTCAACGGTACCTGTAACTTGTAAGCTGAACACTGTCCTTCGAGGAGTCGAGGCTCAAGGAAGCACAACGTAGCAACAGTCTCGAATGCTCGCGTGCTCAGTGCCCGGCATCGCAAATATATGAGTCTGCCTGTTCCGAGTATTTGTCGTGCTGCCCGTCGTTGATTGGGCTACTCTCAGCATCTCCAAACAACATTCGACCCTGTTCGGAAAGCGGACTTGTCTCGTCAACTCCAGACAATCCCATCCCAGATGATATGGGTATTTGTGTAGAAAGCCAAAAAGACATCATTTAACGGATAACGGGATCGGATGAATAAACGCATCCTGTCACGTCCGCAAGGCAGGCCAAAACATGAGACAGGCGAAGTTGAGCAAACCACGCCACTTTGTTACTTCGTCCTGACTCTCCTTTCTCGAAGAATTCCTGTTTGAGCGTCCCCTGTGGCATTCACCCAGTCAAAGATCGAATTGCAGAAGAGTGGTGCTCCTTCTCTATCCCTCATTCCGCAATCCCTTCCCCACACTACACTGTTGGTAATCGCACGTTGGAACGCTGACACCGCGCGCTGATGATGCACGTATCCCTTATCGGAGACATTCGTTGAGTTGCAGATGCCGCGAACAACAGGAACATCAAACTCGTAGGGGTCGTTGTGTTGTGTTGGGAAATTCTACCCCATAAAGTGTACCATGGACGACCCGATTGCCGCCCTTCATCGTGATATTTCGTTCATGCAAAAGACCCAGGGCGAAACCCAATCGGCGCAAGCTGCATCCCCGCTGACAAGTCACCCAGATTCGATTCAATGACAAGGTCCAGGGTCTCTCCCACACGCGCCTACTGCTCGGCGTGGCATCCCCCGTCGCTCGCTCCTTGTCCAAATACGTGCACCTGCTGTGTTTCTTCCTGCCCTCGTCTTCAAGAGGTTGAGGAGGCGCAGAATGTCACGTCGCGGACGAAATTGAGCAACATTCGCACCCTACTGTAGAGGTCCGTTCCGGACATGGCCCACCTACGTCGATCTCCATTGCACCTAGGTGAGGCCATGAACTCGTCGTCCGCCCGCCAAGTCTGAGCCTCGACGAGCCTCACGCTGCTCGGTGTGATGAGGAGTCTTCGGGGCGTTCCGCGCATGCCAGCGAAGAAACCGGATCACTTCGGCCTTGTTCTCGAAATGCAGATGGCGTCTGTTTGTGGCACGATGGCTATCAAGTATTGTTGTCAAACTCCATGAGATGGCATCGCCCCCATTATCAGATATGCATCGTGCAGGCAAACGCGGGGCATCCGGATGTTTGGTGCTGCACTCAACTGCCATTGTACAAGCTCCTGTTCTGCCCCGTGTGAAGGGAAGAGGTGGTGTTTTGATGGGTTTCCGTAGTTTTCGTAGGACAAGACGTCAAAGTAGTAAAGCACTCTAGTTGCGAACAAGCTCAAACTTCATGAATAAGGTCGTCTGCATTGCTCCATGGTCTGGTCTCTGCTGCAGCCGCTCATCGCCATGCTTCGCAACGGCGTACTATGCCCCAGATGGGCACCGCCGCGACTGAGTCTACGCTCGAGGTTGTGACTGCCGAATGGATCGACCCGGCCACCTGGCTTCGCCTGTCACTCCCTCCCTAACTGAAGTCTTCATCTTCATTGGATAACTCGTCTTGAACTAGGTCATTTTGGGCATCTTCCATCAACCCGAGATAAGCCACCACGTTCTCGTCTGCGAGGAGTTGTGTTTTCTGCAAGGTTAGGGCACATCGCCCACCCTTGTTAGCCTGGGCGCCACACGCGGGGGAAGTCTGTAGTTGAGACGGGTCTCCGGGGTAATCGAATTGTAGGAGAAAAATAGAAGGATTACAGGACTTTGAGAAGCAGAAAGACTGTGGAGTGAAGTGGGCAGAGAATCGTAAGATTTGTCTGCAGCCCTGGCACTGACAGGAGACCGGCGATGATGAGTAGCAAACCACTTACCTGGTCTTCTAGAGCCTTCGCGGCAGCTTCTAGCAAGCTCGTCTCTTGCTCCCTCAGCGTTGCAGCTGCACTGATGCATGTCCCGCAGACGAGACCACCTTCATTCAGGGACTCGTCCAGGTCCTCCAGAGATACACCGGTGGCCAGTCGCTCAAGCTGGCTGGCCACCAGATCCTCCAAAACGGAAACAACCCGAAGACGAAAGATTTGAGCCAGGGGGTGTTGATCGATGTGTTGCTCGAAAGCCGTTGTCGTCGCGGTCACATCCTCTTCTTGCCAGAATAGTTTTAGCTCCCGTGAACCTCCGGTGTCCTGCAAGACGCGAAATGACAGGCCGTCCTCCTCGTTGAGGCACATGAAGTAGGCAAAGGGGCTCTTCCAGCTGAGTGAGCCATTCGTCCGGACAAACTCCACAGTCGGTGCTCCGTCAAAGACGTGCAGCTTCGCCTTGCCCAGCGGGTCGTCTTCCATGGGTATCAAGGGCAGAGTGATCCGGTCGGCGGCTGACGCGGGGTCAATGAACCCATAGCTGAAGAGCATCTCTGCCCCGGATTTCGCGCCCCCGTAGGATATCGTCATCTCGTCCCCAGACGAGACCCTGCAGCCGGGTCGCAGAAGGAGTACCACCTCGTCCTTACCATTCTCCTCGTAGTAGGCATTGGCCTTGGATGAGTGATTTGCCAAGTCTAGCACCGGGACCATGGCCTCCCCTGATTTGGGGAGCTCCAGACATCGGGACCGAAACCACGCATCGACCCGAACCCAGTCAATGAGCGACACCTTGTCGCTTTCCCAAAACAGCTCGTTCCAAAATGGTATAGTCGCAGAAATCTCTCGGAGCTCGTCAAACTCGTCTGTCAACGCAACAATCTTGGCGGCCGTGGCCGACTACTTCTTGTTAGAACGTTATCCATAAGCCATAGCTGAAGCCTTCGGGATATCGCTTCTATCTCACTCAGCCGCAATACTTGGCTGGCGAAGAAGTAGACCTTCATATGAGAACGATTCCACGAAATTTGGGGTGCAATATTGATGTCGTTAAATACGGGGGTTGGACCAAACCTGCGTAACTAACGACAGCCGGTATTTGCTTTTCAGGGAAGGCCGTAGGCAGTGGAGAAGGGAGGCTGGAGAAGTGCTTGCCTCAAGTGATGTTCCATTCAACATCTCGCGTTCCTGCTCAGTCCAGAGGGTGGTAACAGGAACTTGCGGCGGCAGGTACTTGACGTATTCTGTCCATGGCGTCGAGACTCCGCCCTTCAAAGACGTTTTGGGCCTATTAGAAAGTACCTTCTGTGTGAGAAGAAAGAGGCAAACGTCATGGCGAGTGGACTAAATTAAGAAGATGGGTAATCCTTTAGCTTTCCAAGGTCCGCATCAGGCTCGGGCGAACACTCTACCTTGTGACCGGCAGCCTCGAGCAGCTGCCGAAAGTTCTTATCGACCTTTGCATAGTTCTCAACAGCTTCGGCGGATAACACCAGCTCGCCTGGAATCCTGAGTAAGGTTGGGATGTCAAAGGTCTCTTCCTCTCGACTGAGCTCCTTGTTTGAAAGTAGACCCAACCCGCAGCCGGGGATTTCGCGGGCCTCGACGTCGACGAGGTCTACGTCATTGAACATGGCCCAGGTGGAGAGGGTCTCCAGGGGAAGCTGCGTAGACGCCATGACGAGGCTGTCGGCTTGCTCTCAATGGGATTGAAGATATACTTGCGAACGGGCGGGATGTCGGTCGTTGCACTGCAGTCTCGTGGTTTGTCAGGCAAGTAGCGAGCAAATGTGGAAAGATTCAAGCGCGAGTCCCGGAGCAAAACGGTTGCTCAAAGCGCAGGGTGGATCGCAATGGCATGTACTGCTACCGAGCAGCGAATACAAGTGCTTGAGGGTTGATACTGCAAGAAGCCGATGTCTCTCACCAGGAAACAATTCAGTTTTTCTTTTGTAATGTCAGAAAATCATGTTTTGAAACGGCAAGATATCTTTTTGGGCCAAGATTTCAATAGAGGCGCCGCATTGGTAGTTAGAAGCCCAAAAAAGCCTAAAAGACTGGGCCCCATCGCGAAGGCGGGCACGCACTCTACCTACTCGTCTCATGTTCAAGTACCTTAAGGTAAGAACCATCTTCTCGCAGCTCTGCTTGAACTTTCCGATGCAAAAGAAACATGGGCTTTCGACTCAAATACCACAACAATGAAAGACGACGGAGGTCACTGGATGGACATTGGAACTCGGAGGGTGTCAAAGTCCTGTTTTCGTAGGTGGCCTATGTACTGATACTCAGGTAATTGGCCGGAGCATGATTAACAACTGCTAATCATCATGGCGGAACGACCAGACAATCCCGCTCTAAGGTAAGTTCGCAACGTCCTAGGAAGCATGTTTCCCCTATACCATTCCTGACAACTCCGAAATTATGCGTGCAGACCTAGCCGGGTTACGGCGAGATCAAGGTATCATCGATATGAAATAGGATAAGGAAACGAAAAGCAGACCAAACTCCATGCTGAGCATTCCCGGTCCCGTTGTCGCTGTTCACATGGCTCGTTAAGATGAGTAGTAACACAGACTTGCAGCCATCAATCGGCTGCACTGGTCATCGTGCTTCAGGTTACCGACCATTTGAGGCGAGATGCTCCTTGAAGAGCTCAGCGGCACGACGAGCATCCCTCCGCTGACTCTCTTCATGTATCTTGCGCATCCAGGCCGCTCCCCGCACCCACTCCTCGTTCCTGCGGACATAGATTGGCAACTCCTCTTCAGGGACATCGCCGAAGTCCATGTGTCTATGGTGGGACCACGGCCGTGGCTCGCCCCTCGCGGAGGCCAAATTGTCTTCCTCTTCCTGGCGCTCTTCTGCCAAGCGCTGCTGTCGCATACGCTTGGCTGCTTTGCCGAAGTTCGCCTTGCGGCCACCTCGGGCTTTGATTTCCTCCATCTTCGACTTGTACCACTGGTCGCTGCGATTATGTGGCCAGTGGATGCGAGGGTCAAGCTTCATATGAAAGCGGCCGTCATCTGCACCAGGTGTCGAGGCTCCTTTCGAGGTCTCTACTGTCGCAGCCAGAGTATACACCCCCAGAGGAGGTCTCGTGGCGCCGGGCTGGCTATATATCATGGCGTCGAACTTGGTGAATTCAAAGTCGGCGCAAAGCTGGAGTCGACGCTCTTCACAGGTCAGTCTCTTCGTTTTGCGGGAAGAACTGGACTTCGGATCCTGTTGATAGCGATTCTGTGGGCCGGCCCTCCCTAGTGTCGAGCCTTGTCGAAGTGTGCCATTCGGCAAAAGGACGTGATTATGACTCTGCCAGTTGGCAAGTTTTGGCTGCCGTATTCTCCCATCTTTCTCCCGTCTACCATCTTCGTCCTCGTCAGAGGAAGAGCTGAGCACAATAGGCCTAAACACGGCACCCAGGCGACTGGTATCCTCATTTCTCGAAGAACGTGAACGTGACGCCTCGAGATTGGCGCCAGGAAGTCCCAAAGAAGATGTGGACTGTGAAGCATTCAAAGTTGCTGGTGCTCCAAGGTAAGTGGACGAATGGGGATGCCCAATGACTACCTTTGCCTGCTCTGGAGCCCTATCATCGATCTCGTCATCATCGTCATCAAGATCTTCATCAGAAGAGCTGAATGACGACGATGACTCGGATGTTGTGTCAGTACTGTCAAGCCTTCTACGCTTGCCGGCCGAAGACGTGAATCTGCTTGTTGAAGCTGATCGTGATGCCGATGGCGCCGATTTCACATGCATTGGCGGCAGACTCTTAGTACTGACGTGAGGCAGCGCATCGAAGCTTCTGTTCCCAGATAGCGTAGATGCCGAAGGTGCAATGGAAGTCCTTCCTCCAAGTTGACTTCTGTTGCTTTCGGCATCCAGCCGAGTGCTCGAATCGCGAGCGGCATGCGACGCATTCTTAGTACCTGGCATCATCGCGGACTCTTGAGATGCTCGAGAGCTTTGACCTGGTCGATATCCCCCTGAAAAAGCCCGTGCCGAGTTGTATCCCCATGTCTTCTTTCCCCTTGGTTGCACCTGTTCGACGGTTGCAGACGTCTGCGATATGCGCTGGTTTGTATCGGTACTGCTAGATAATCGCTTCGTCTGGTCTTGTGATGGCGAGTGCACTTGATTAAGAAGTGGCCGAAAAGGATTGAACGTGCCAGGAGGGAGAGTTTCATGGTTAATTGGTGAGACAGACTCAGGAGTGTGAGTTTGCGCAGAAGTAGTGTGGAACCTTGGATGAGTCTCTTCTTCCATGCGCTTCTTAGGAGGAGCTTTTGCCCCAGCTGTCTTTCTAGCTGTCATTGCCAGTTTTCCCATGAGATCGGCCGGCAGATTCGTCCTTCTGACTGTGGCATGGGCGCCCTGAAAAGCGTGTGCTGGTTCGTCTCGAAAATCCCTGCCACCTGAATGGGACTGGCTGCTTCTCGACTGGTCGTCATGACCAACTCGCCCTACGTTCTGCGATGGGTTCTGCACCACTGAGGGCCTTGGGGGCGCGCGTCCAGATGAGCCGGCAGCAAGATGCGCAGCACTGCCTCGAGCAATCCTCCTTTCTGCTTGATGGCGTAGGCAAAGAGTCCCATTGAGAGCACTGGAATCGCATCCATCTTCGGCACACCGTTTTGTAGACTGCTGACGAAGGGACTCCATCTCCTAGCGGCCTGGTTCTTCATGAAGATATCTCGATTCTATCAACTTGCTGAGATGGGTTTCCACGGACACAGGGTCGGGGTTAGTAGATCTCGAAAGCCTTGTTGCCTAGCCAGACCTGCTCTAAAGGGCGAAAGGCCGTTGCCCAAGTGCTGAAGTCAACGAAGATACGTCGTTAAGATTGGATGTTTGAGTCTCTCGGAAAACCGTTGGCAAAAGTCGAGCTGAGTAGTGCGCCCTAATTCAAATTCGGAACAACGTGTCGAGCAAGAAGTACACAGCGAGGATGGGTTCCTTTCTCTTCATGGTCTGGGACTTGGAGATTAGGTGGCCAGAGGTGCACGACAGGAGGGTTCTACTGAAGTAAGGTTAGCTTAAAGTTCAACCTGACGTTAGACGGGACCTGGAAGGTCCTTCAAAACAAGTTGGAGCCAAATGATGACAGTTGTAGAAATAAAGTGTGCGCTCAGGTCTTTTCAGTCATTTTGGTCGTCATATTGGGGACCGCAGCGGGTTCGTAGTCTCATCTTGAACCATTTTACTTGTCTTCCTGAGCCTTTGGTCCTACTCCGTTTGGGTAACTCGTAGCAGAACTCCAAAATGAGGTCATGTTCATTTCGCTTCTCAATCCTATATTGGTATACTGCATTGTTTAAGCAGCTCCGTCTGTCGCGTATGCTTTTCGCTCGGCGAAAGCCTTGCGAGGATGAGGACGTGGCTCATTCGTCAAGAACGGCCATTGAACGGTAACAAGATGAGACAACAAACCCAGAAGAATCCTTTTCGATCGGACCTTTTACCAGTAGTCATCACTGCGCGTAAGAAATGTGTGTTGGGGGTCGGGGAAGGACATCAAGGCCTTGGAGAAGCAAAATCGCACTTACCCGTTGGAGAATCGCCTGCTCCCTCAGAGTCGCGCCTTCGGCCGCCAGCACACGACACTTTGGCATGGGTTAGGAAGATAAAGAGCTTTGGGACCGGGTTGAAATCGATTGAAAATGATTGAGTCTTGTTGTGAACGCAGAGTTGTGATCAAGTTTCTCTTCGTAGCTGCGCGAATGCTCAGGGCAAACCAAGCTTTTGTCGAGTCGCAAGGCTGGTCGGGTTGCTGAGGCTCTCGCCTCGCGTTGCGTTCAGTGGAGGTTGATGAAGGTCGCTTGCTTGAATTCACTGGAGGGCCTCTGGGTAATCCTTGCCTAGCTTCGTTAACAGACGGAACGACCTTGACGGGGCACCATCGATTTGCATCCGGGCCCACCCAAAACATCGGCGAACGGATCATTTGTCACCCGTATCACCCCTCCATCCAAAATAGCCTAGCGCGGGGATCTTCAGGCATGAGCTGCTGCCCGTGGTCCCCTGTTCCAGTGTCAACGGTCCACTATCTTGTCGCCAAGTTGCCCGAAGCTCCCTGCCTACCTCAGCACTCGCAGCGCGTGCGTTGCCCCTTCCGCCAAATATACAATTTTGAGACCAGCAGTCGCCGATTGACCAGATCCTGGCTTCCTGAATACTCTCTCGGATTTGGTAGAGCAAGATGAATTTCCTCAAGTCAGCAGTGGCCTCTGCCATTGCACAGGGGCCACCATTCCCTTATAGCTTTGGCGACAAGGTAGACATCGACGAGTCCATATGGACATTGAACAATGGCACCAAGCGAGTATGTCTAGCTACCCGACGACGCAATCGACAGCCCAACATCTAACGCCCCTTGACAGGAAGACGGTTCCAACTGCAGTATTTTCTCCTTTGATATTGCCGCCAACAAGTCCCGACTACCCCTGGCGAAGAACGCACTGCGAAAGCTGAGGACCTTACGACACCCAGGTGTCATCAAGGTGTTGGATACCGTGGAGGTAAGGGCGGCCCTTGACTACCTTACACGGAGCTTTGTCTCACAAGACTATGCAGACCGATACATATATCTACATTGCGACCGAGCGAGTGGTGCCTCTACGATGGCATGTGAAGAGAAAGAGCCTCACGCCAGAAACGATAAAATGGGGATTGAGCAGCGTTGCGGTATGTTGGGTTGATAATATAGTTGAGCGGGAAGACTAATTTTTCCCAAAGCGCACCATCAAATTTATCAATGATGAGGCTTCATCAATACACGGCAACCTAAGGGTTGGCTCTGTGTACACATCTGAGAGTGGGGAGTGGAAGATGAGCGGGTTTGAGGTTCTGAGCAATGTGAAAGACGACGAAGCAGTGATATACGTAGGTATTCCTCCTTGATCTTGGGCAACACATTTACTGACATCGAGGCTTAGACATACGGCAGCTTGGTCCCAGATTCAGGGCGATATGCGCCACCTGAGCTTGCTCGTGGTGGCTGGGATGCCATCAAGAAGAGCCCGCATTCCGCAGTGGACTCATTTGGTTTCGGATGTATGATATTTGAAGTCTTCAACGGCGACTTCATGGGCTCTGATCAAGCCGGGCAGACGAAGAGCATTCCTCCGACCATGCAACAAAGTTACAAGCGTCTCGTCAACCCAAACCCTAAGGCGCGTGTTAGCGTTGGCCATTTCCTAGAACAAGGACAACGGAGTGGATCTTTCTTTGACAGCCCCTTAATCAAACTGACAGAAGGAATCGAGAATCTGGGTGTGAAGACTGAGAGTGAGAGAGAGGCATTCCTCGAGTAGGTCCTTTGATGTCGAGTCAAGTATGTTAAGCATGTAACTGACCCATACAGTGATCTCGATCAACTGACGGACGATTTCCCCGAAGACTTCTTCAAGATGAAGATTCTCCCGGAGCTCATCAAGTCAGTTGAGTTTGGCGGCGGCGGCCCGAAGGCCTTCAGTGTCGTAATGAAAATTGCAGCCAAGCTTTCAAACGAGGATTTTGACTCAAAGATCACACCCGTCGTAATCCGGCTATTCGCCAACCCCGATCGAGCGATCCGCGTCTGCCTTCTCGATAGCCTGCCATTGATGATCGATCGGTTAACACAAAAAGTGGTCAACGACAAGATCTTCCCACAGCTCGTCACTGGCTTCACAGACGTGGCGCCAGTTGTCCGAGAACAGACTTTGAAGTCGGTTTTAGTCATCATTGGGAAGTTGTCTGATCGTACCATCAATGGAGAGCTGCTCAAGTACCTCGCCAAGGCCGCCAACGATGAACAGCCGGGCATTCGAACAAACACCACAATTTGTCTGGGAAAGATTGCCAAAAACCTTGGAACATCTTCGAGAGCCAAGGTGCTCATCGCTGCCTTCACCAGGTCCCTGCGTGATCCATTTGTGCATGCCCGAAATGCCTCGCTAATGGCCCTCGGCGTCACAGGAGATTGCTTCTCCGACGAGGATGTGGCTTTGAGGATAATGCCCGCGGTCTGCCCCTTGCTGATTGACAAGGAGAAGGTGATCCGTGACCAGGCGAGCAAGACGATGGACGTTTACCTGAAGCAGGTCAGGAAGGCCGCCTCCAACATGCCAGAAACCGCTCTGCCTCCTCAGGCCGCAGAAGGCGCTGGCGGACCTCGCATGAGCACTCCCCAACCCAACGAGGCCTCGGCAGCATCCTGGGCCGGGTGGGCCATCTCCTCTTTCACCAACAAGATTTCGACTGCGAACGGTGAGATGCAAACCTCCAACGGCTCAGGCGCTGCGTCTCCCAAGCCGACTCCATCGCCAGGCCCCGACGCGAAAAGGCCGACCACCTCGTCAGCTTCGGCTCTGCATCGTCAGGCGGTCAAGTCCCCCCCGCCAATGTCGCGAACACCGTCGTCGGTCGTGGCAGACGCCTTCAACCCGGAACCTGCGGACGACGGCGGAGACGCTTGGGGCGATCTTGGAGACGATGACGGTTGGGGAGAGCCAACCACCAACAGCAGCTCGTCGGCTAAGAAGGCAACTACGGCCAGCGCAACTCCATTTGACGACGGTGCAGAGCCAGATTTCGCCGGCTGGCTGGCGGCGCAATCCCAGAAGAAGACCGGAGGAAGCAAGCCGCTGCCAAAGGGCCTCTCGAAGTCAACAACAGCAGCGAAGAAGCCTCTGGTGTCGAAGCCGGCTGCTAAGCCTGCGGTAGCGAAGAAGATCGACATGAAGCCAAAGGACGACGATGACGATGAAGGCTGGGGAGATGGATGGTAGGTGATAATCGCAGCAAGACAAGACAAAGTTTGCAGCATTTACGGCGTTAAGGGGTGCGGGATACCACGATGTTGCAAGTAATGTTCATGTAGCAGTAAAGCCTGCCAATTGAGAATCTGTAATGCAGACGGCCGCAGCCTCATCTGTGAATGCGATACAAAGGACTGT